CAACTACAATCTTCAAAAATTGAAATGCAACATCAATCATCATCTTCTGTTTCCTTAAATTGTTTTCTATTATTGTCCATTCTGCTTCTTTCACTCTAGTGAACCCGTTGCATTTTAGTGGTATTTGTCACCTTGCTTGGGATGAAATGATAAAAAAAAGAATTGGATAAATATTAATGGTAAGATTAGCTGTTTCCTTATAAGGAAACCTTCAATATTCATTAATTGAATAGTTAGCTTTACTGTCAGCTGAAATTCATAAAATATTTCTTTTAAAACTGTTTTTTAGGAAAATAGACTTCTCAAGACCATTAACTGTAATTGCTCTTTCTAGTATTAATGGGAGTTTCCTTCCTAACCTTTTACTTGAACAAGTGTGGAAAGTCAACATATGCTCCAGTGCTCCTGCTGTATATTTGGAGATTCTTGATAAAATACAAAAAAAGAATTCGCAATTTTATCAGTCCTGACCTGGTATATTGGCTTCAGTCCCATCGCACCACAGTAATGTAGGTTCTCTTTGCCTCTTCTATAAAAATTTTCACAGTAAATTTTGGATGTGCTTTCCTCATTGGTTTCTCAAATTTAAGCACAGTACTAGATTGGCAGATAGGTCTCAATTTCACTGTTGAAATTGCTGATTGTAATCATAAGTTTTATGCTAATAGTTTCTACCCTCACACTTCTCGCTTCTGGAACCTTTTTCCAGCTTTTTGCTTTCTCGTCAACTACACTCTTCAAAAATTTGTATGCAGTGTCAATCATTATCTTTTGTCCCCCTTGAATCCTGTGCTTTCATTGTCCTCTCTGTTTCTTTCACTTTCAGTAACCTATTATATCTTAGTGGCTTTATTGCCTTGCTTAGGGTGAAATTATTAAAGAAAAAAGGATTGAATTAATGATAATGATAAGATTAACTGTTTTCCTACAAGAAACATGCATTGTTCATTGACTGAGTAGTTGTCCTGAGTATGACGATAAACTAAATTTGGCATCAAGGTTTTGAGGAGCCTGGAACCACCTGTTGTTTCCAGGTCCGCCTTGACCCAGGGTCATAGCACAGATATGGACAAATAGTCAATTCCTAAAATGGGGTCAAAACACTATCAAAGTGTAGAAATACATTTCTAAGTATCAGCAATACATTTTCATAGTAAAAGAAATACCAGTAATAAATTTTTGTAAAGAAAAAAATTTACAATTAATGTAAGGAAAAAATAAATATTACCAGCATTACATTTTTGTATAAGAAATTACTAATGCTCCCAAGAAAATTAAATTTTGGCATTAACTGACCCATCATTACTACATTAGACTCAAAGCAAGACACTGATGGGATACCAGCCGTCGTCCTTAAGAAATATGATCCTGAGCTGGCTCCAGTTTTCCCCAAACTATACAACTATTGCCTTGCTGATTGTTACTTTCCAGCCTATTGGAAGTCCTCCTCTGTCATCTCTGTTTTTAAGACCCCTCTAACTACTGCTCAATCAGTCTCCTACCACTCTTTGGCAAAGTCTTTGAGGTTTAATCAATGCTAAAGTGGTTAAACATCTTACCTCCCACAATCTAGTCTCTGACAAATAATATGGTTTCCATCTTGCCCAGTCTACCACTGATGTGTTTATGGCCATAACTGAATATGCATACAAAGCTCTTGATAATAACAGTGAATAACTGTGGCTCTAGATATCTCAAAGGCATTTGACAGGGTTTGACATGCTGGCCTTCTATGTAAGCTTCAGGGCTACGATATTACAGGATGATTATTTGATCATTCCTATCAAATCATGAAATTAAGGTCGTCCTGAATGGGTTCTCTTCCAGTTCCTTTCATGCGAACGCTGATGTTTCCCAAGGCTCTATCTTGGTTCTTAAACTGTTTCTGATCTTCATCAATGAACCTCTTCATGTCATCAGATCTCAAGTAGGCATCTATGCAGACAACACTACCATTTACTCCTATCTCAATAGTAAATCTGGCAATGCTGACAAAGCTAACTTGGCTGTTGGTCTTGAAAATGACCTCCAATCAGTGGTTAACTGGGTAGGAAACGTTTTGTAAATTTTAATACCTCAAAAATGAAACTGATCTCATTTAACCACCATAGAGAAACTTCTCTGTCCCCAATAAGTATGGTTGATGTTTGACTTTGTGAGAGCATCTCACCGTGCCTTCTTCATGTTTTCCACTGACTTGAGGTGAATCAATAACTGCATCTATGACAAGGAAAATTGATTATCTGTGTTATGCAAGAAGATTTTTCTTCTCTGATTCCATCCTACATATCTACAAATCTACTATTCATCTGTGCATTGAATAATGTTGCCATATATAGTTTGATGCCCCTGCTGTTCATCTCAACAAAATTCAAAGAAGAATCTGCAATGTAGTCAGTCCTGACTTGGCATCTCAACTTCAGTCACTTTCTCACAGATGTAATGTGGCTTCCCTCTGTCTGTTCTACAAATATTTTCATGGCAACTGCTCTGAGAAGTTATTTTCCCTGGTGTGTCGACTACATGAATTTAAGTATACTACTAGGTTAGTTTCTTGGTTCCACCCTTTTACTGATGAAACAGTTAAATGTAACTGCCTCTTTTACTCCAACAGCTTCTTCTCCTGCACTTCCCAACAGTGGAACTTCCTTCCTCTTAGTCGCTTCCCAGATAACTACAATCTTCAAAAATTTAAATGCAACATCAATTGTGATCTCCTAATGTCTTGATCCCTATTCTTCTTTTTAACTTTTATGCAATCCCCCCCCTATACCCAGTCTTTTCTCTTACTTTCACTCTTTGTAAACCCCTGTGTACTAATGGCACTCCAACCTTGCTTGGGGTGGAATGCTTAAAAAACAAATAACAAAAAAAGAAAATAAGAAGTTGATATGCCATAAATTGATTGAATAGTTAGCATTACTATCAGTTGGGATTCATAAAATAAATCTTTTAAAGCAGTTTTTTTCAGGAAAATAAATTTCTCAGATCCACTAACTGTTATTGTTCTTTCTAGTTGTGATGCAGTTTTTGTTATTTCTTAAAGTTCTTTGTTTGTGATTCTGTATCACCAGTCTGTGAGATCTGAGGAAGAATAATCATCTTTAAGGCTTACAGGATTCTGCTAACTTAAAACCTACTAACATGTAATTCACACCGTTAAAAAAAAAAAAAACAGGATGTCTACTCAAGCATGTGTATCTACTAAAATATAACATTTAAAGCGGGTATAATCCACACCCTGAATCCATCATAAACATTTAGGATGTGCAATTAATAAATACCAAACATTTCAAATACCTCGGCATATGGATCAGTTATAACCAATTTAGCGTAGGAGAAAAAGAAGAGAATAGAATAGGCTATGCCAGATATAGTCTCATCCAACATCCCATATTGCTACAAAACCGAAACATCAACCTGAAAACTCGACATGATCTTAAATAGCTTCTTCAGATCGTGACTTTCATATGGCACCCAATTCGTTTAGAAATATCTAAACTGTCAGTTGTATACAACCACTTTCTAAGATCAGTGGTTAAGAATGGCTGTGAGCAAGTGAAGCCTGATGGTATTTACCAAGACGATCCTTTTTTAACATTGTGGACAAACAAAGAACTATCATAATAATAGAAACTGTATTACTTGAGGACTACCAATAGCAGTAATAGTGAAAATGGATATCACATGTAACTCGAAGAGAGAATATTGACATAATGAAGAAGTTGACATTCCACAATACTTCAAATAAAAGGTTAGGAAGGAAACCGCCATCAATGCAAAAAAGAGCGATAATAAATACTAGGATTGAAAATTGTTTTAAGAGAAATGTTTTATAAAGTTCAACTGGAAACAGTACTGCCTGCTCGGTCAATGAATGTGTTGTGACCAAGTAATTCGTTAAGGAATAACAAAACAAGAGGTTGCAGATAACTGAATAGTATTGAACAGTAAATACAACAGAAGTGTGTCACACGACTTGGGAGTGTGTGTCAGTTGACCAGCGTTCAGTCTATATAACCGTTATATTTAACGCCCCCACCACGTGGGTCGTATGTGGCACAAGGCCGGTTTATTGTGGGTTCTCCGAGCCCGTAGGCTCGGCCAAAAATATTCCATTTAACCCGTATAAATGGGTTCAGGGCCTGTCTACCTCCCGGGACAAAACCTTGCCCTTCGGCAAAGCGTCGTCCAGGTTCCTCTCCGCCGAAGCAGAGAGTTTGACAGTTGAACAGTGTATATCACTGTTCCCCTGAGTCCTACCTTTCCTGCTAACTTTATAGTAAGTGGAAGAGTCCACAATAGCCTCATTAGAGGGAGGACGCCACAACAGAATGCCAAATGTTTCCTTGTAGGGAAACAGCTAATATTACCATTACCATGAGCAACCTTTGTTGAGTAGTGGGCCGTAATATGGCTCATTATATGGCAGGTCGCATGACTAAAATGATTCAAGGTAATTCTTTTTGTTAAGGGGGCCTCAGCTATTTTTAATACAGAAGACCATACAGGTAAGTATCTACCTTAGAAGTGTGAAGAAGTTGTAATTTTTTTCTGCCAACTACCATAGTTATTTTTCTCTTTCGGTCCTCCT